ACACTATGTTATAACATGAGTGATCAACGGATTAAGGTATATCATTAATAAGTACACATGTATTATAATATGCGTAAATTAATAATACCACGTAACGTCAATGTTATGGTTACACCGAAAAGTTTATCCTAAAACTTGCTAGAGCATATACCTAAGATTATACAGGTGTATGCAGCCTTCGTGTCTCCATTGATTTAGACACTTTGTTTTGTCCGGGTTATTTATGATTGCTATTGCATGCTAATGGATGATGAATTTTAGTTATTAAAAAAATTGTTTTATGGTGTTAAGTAATTGATTTTTTTTATATAAATATTTTCATATTAGATTAAGGGCTCCCATTTAAGTTTCGCATAGGGCCTTCAAAATCTCAAAACTGGCCCTAGACATTAAGTAACACAATCATTAGAAAGATTTAACCGATGTAAAATTAGAGAAATGTTCGTGTGTGACACAATGACTGTAACACTATGTTATAACATGAGTGATCAACGGATTAAGGTATATCATTAATAAGTACACATGTATTATAATATGCGTAAATTAATAATACCACGTAACGTCAATGTTATGGTTACACCGAAAAGTTTATCCTAAAACTTGCTAGAGCATATACCTAAGATTATACAGGTGTATGCAGCCTTCGTGTCTCCATTGATTTAGACACTTTGTTTTGTCCGGAGGTTTTTGCGTACCCTCTACATAACTCCTTTTCTGGCTTAACAAGCAAGAGAAGTAAGAATATAGAAGACATGAAAGCTTATACACACGAACACTTGTGCATTTGCAGTTGCAGGATGAGAAGTGAATCTGATTAAAGTCAAATGTCTACGCAAAATTCAAGAAGCACTTGAAAAAAAGTCAAGAGTGGGAAAAGCTAAACCATGATGTAGGAACGTCGCAAAAAGTTTTGGCTTTATATTAATATTTGTTTCTTGCACCTAAGTATATTCTATGCACCATACACTTCATGGGTCTTGGCCTGAAAGGGAACCCAACTGGGCTAAATTCATTGCATACTCTCACAGTCTCACAGTCTCATTGTCACTCATCCGAGCTATCGCATTATATTAGCTTTTAATTTAAGCACGTGCGTTTTACCACTGATTTTGTTAATTCAGCTTTTTTCTCAAGTTGCAAGCTTCAGTACTTTCCAAGAACCTCTCTCTGTATCTTTCTTTAAATCTTTACTTTAGTTTTCTAATATGGTTTTAACAGACTTCCATGTAGTCTGGTCTAGACTAGCTTCTTTTCTTCTGCTGCCGGGAAAATTTTCAATGACATATTTGATTAAGTGTCATTAAGAGATTAATTAAGGTGTGCTAAATCGTGCTTAATTATAGCTGTTTCCTGGAAGCTCACTTGAGAGAAAGAGGGCCTACTTTTGTGCATGCAGATTGCCCCACAGGCAACATTTGATTGCAACTTGCATTAAAATTATGAGTTGAACGGGTTTATTCAACAAGAGGAATTCTGCAAATTTGATGACTAGCCAAAGAGGAATTCTCTAGATGGGTGACATTGATTTGAATCACTTATATATATTCAATTCAATTATTGATTGCAGGATTATGGGGAGAGTTGGTATTCCTTTATGTTTTTGTATGTAAAAGATATAAATTATAATGCATATGTTGACCTAATGTTAATTTCTCTGTGTGTTTCTGAGCCTGAAAAACTTGAATCCGTGTCAATATTGGATTGCCGGACATGGTTTGCACTAACTACTGGTTTTATCACCTAATTCCGTTGAATTGGAACTTGGAATATACAACTATGAATTACAAAAGGGGAGCAAAAAGAGTTTTTTAGCTATACGTCTAGACAAACACTAAGGAAACACATAAAAAAGTATGTGATTTCACTTTCTAATGGAACACTACGAACGCATTTAAAAAATCAATGAGTTCAAGAAAGAGAAAAGTAACCAAAATTAAATGATTCGGGGTTCTATGCGGTCGTCTTGCGTGGCTCTGCTTGGGGCCAACCTTTAAAGGCCGTGCTTTTGGTTATACATACTTAAGTCACATCAATTTGTACCCAACCACTTAGATTGAGGTGGGATGACCCTCTTAAGTGAGGAGGTTGGGTGATAAGAGTGGACTTAAGACAATTTCTTAAGATGAAAGTTTCTAATTTGGGGTGCGCCGCAACTTGCTTGACAATCACATTAATTATCATAAACTGATTGAAATACTTTGTATCGTATTTAGTTTAAATAAACTAAACCTTATTTGTTGAAGCTAAGAGAACAAGGCATCTTAGAGAGTATTATCAGATAAATAAATGCAGGAATGAATCAAAATCCGAAAAAGAAAATAATAACTTGGATTTAAGAATAAAAAAAACCATGAACTTCTAACAACGTTGTTGACAGTAGGGCTAGTAGTGCCTGTTGAATTGGGCTTGCCAATGTTGCAATTACTTGTGGGCTTTCTTAGATGCAATTGGACATCTCATTTATTGGAAACCCATGTGCATCCGCATGACAAAGCAATACGTCGTCCGACCAAAACAAAAAGAAGCAATACGTCGTCGCATTGTCATCCCTCATCATCACCAACGAAAATACGCATGGAAAAAGACACGTCGTCCATTGATGCGTTTTGTCGCTTATCAATGAAATGCACGACATGTCGTTTTATTTGCTTTTCCCCAAAAAGGTGAGTTTAGAGAGCAGACCAAGGGAACATTGAATTCGGACAATGTCTGAAATACGCCAAAGATGGCATGGAACGCACCAACTACCAGTACCAGACTATTTCTCACTCTCTCTGTGGCCAGCCAGCCATCAAAACCCTTCCACAATAATTCCTCCCACATATCAAATATGCATGCACCTCCATAATTTTTCTTTTCCAAATTTTCATGGTGGTAAACAGGGGCAGCCTTGAGGGTGTGCAAGTGATGTCACCGCACAGGCCCAGAAATATTTTTTACGTGTAGAATATGAATATTAATATTATAGGTATTATATATATACTTGAGCGAGTAGGAAAGTAACACAAGTGTATTTGGTTGAGTTGGAATTCATCCCCTTGATTTTTGTAGGCAAGTTGGGTTCAAGTCTGTATTGTGTCATTCAGTAGTTGCGAAACAAAAAAGTTAATGTCTTCTTCCTCTTCCATTTTCTCAAATTGAAACATTAAAACTTTTATGAATGTTATTTATGATTGCTATTGCATGCTAATGGATGATGAATTTTAGTTATTAAAAAAATTGTTTTATGGTGTTAAGTAATTGATTTTTTTTATATAAATATTTTCATATTAGATTAAGGGCTCCCATTTAAGTTTCGCATAGGGCCTTCAAAATCTCAAAACTGGCCCTGATGGTAAGGGATTTGTAGATTAAGTAATTAATATCAGTTATTTATGCACCTAAAGTCATGTGTTTCGATCGTCTCTCCCAATATCACTTGTATAATAATAAAAAATAATTGGCCATGCTCAAATAATAATAATAAGCAGACATCTCTGCATATACAGTAATATAATGCTCAAAGGCCTTTTTAATGGCCAAAGGGAGGTTTGCCTTTTCTTCTTGGTCAGAAGCTTCCTAGGCTCCTAGCCAAAAAAACATTTTCCAACCCATCAACCATCAGATTGGACCAGCTTAATTTATTAGTCCCCACCACCAGAGACCACACCATTCACTATATATCTTGCATGTCACAACCCATATTTTTGCCACCAAATTTGAATAAAGACTTCCTGTTTTTGCTTAACATGGAAGGGAAGAAAGTGGAGAACCAGCAGAAGGAGCAGACTAAGGTAAGAGATCAACCCCGGTATCGAGGGATTCGGAGGCGACCGTGGGGCAAGTTTGCTGCTGAAATACGTGACCCTTCAAGAAATGGGGCACGCCTATGGCTAGGCACATTTGAGACAGCTGAAGAGGCAGCTAGGGCTTATGATCGAGCTGCTTTCGGCTTCCGGGGTCATTTGGCCATCCTCAACTTCCCTAATGACTACCAGTATCATAACCCATCAAGCTCCTTGATCAGCACTTCATCCTCTTCATCTTCTTCTTCATCATCATCTCCATTTTCTGCTGCTGATATTGGAAAGAGTACTAATTTTGGCAGAGGGCAAGCAGAAGATGAAGTTATAGAGTTTGAGTACTTGGACAACATGGTTTTGGAGGAGCTTCTTGACACAAAAGAGGATCATCATAGACAGGGGAAACCAACCCATTAAGGAAATTGACTGGTTTTGCTTGAACTGCAGGCAAAATTGAAGTTGGTTTAGCTCTGTTTGTTTCTTTCAATTTTTACTTTTTTACCCGACAACGTGTGAATTTGTGAAATTCATTGTAGCCAATTGTTACTCTGACTTATTTATCTCTATCAATCTTTTTTTATCTCAGTAAAAACAAAACTTGTGAAGGTAAAAGAATCAGGGAAATTTACCTGATATTATAATGTGGAAACAAATCCGTACATTGGTGAGACCCAAAAAAAAAAAATGAAGATGCTGGCTGTTCTTGACTTTTGGTTATGATTTCAAGCAACATAATGCCAATCATTGAGCTGCTATGACCAAATTTTTTTTGCAGAAGATAACGCAGTCAACTCACTCAACAAGGCATCTATGGATCCAAGGAAACACAGTTTCTTACATTTACAGTTGCTCAAGTCATATATTTAATTTTTTATTAGTCTTAAAATATGATATAATGACAGTAATTAAGAATATAATAATTGGGTTCAGGACAAAATAAGATTATAATAGTTGGGTTAATACTAAAACAGAAAGGTAGCTATACATTGACAACGCATGAGCATGACAACTTTCATGGTATTTTCACATTGGAGCAGTGCTTTAATATTTAACCAAAAATTCTATTCAAATGACTCGAATCCTACACCGCCGAAACAGAGAGAACATAAAAAAAATTTGAAGCTTCGATTTGCAGAAACAGAATTCTAAAGTTGATGTTCTGTTTTTCACTAATTAAGCAAAGATTTGAGTTGTGTGATTTGTATTACACCAAGTTCTTCACTCACTCTTGCTTTTGTTGTCAAAATCAAGAAGGTCCTCTAACACACTGTCATCTAAATACTCAAACTCAAAGATTGGGATGACCCTCTTAAGTGAGGAGGTTGGGTGATAAGAGTGGACTTAAGACAATTTCTTAAGATGAAAGTTTCTAATTTGGGGTGCGCCGCAACTTGCTTGACAATCACATTAATTATCTCTCTTCCTGTTTCTGTCCTGGTGGTCACATTATTATGCAATGTAGAAGAGGATGAAAAATTAGATGAAGACGAAGACGAAGAAGATGAAGAAGAAGAAGAAGAAGAAGAAGAAGAAGCAGCAGAAGTAGAATGATCAACTTCAGGCAAACCATATTCACTTGGAAAATTGAGAATTGCAAGAGGACCCCTCATGGAAAAAGCAGCTCTGTCATAAGCCCTTGCAGCCTCTTGTGCACATAAACTGATTGAAATACTTTGTATCGTATTTAGTTTAAATAAACTAAACCTTATTTGTTGAAGCTAAGAGAACAAGGCATCTTAGAGAGTATTATCAGATAAATAAATGCAGGAATGAATCAAAATCCGAAAAAGAAAATAATAACTTGGATTTAAGAATAAAAAAAACCATGAACTTCTAACAACGTTGTTGACAGTAGGGCTAGTAGTGCCTGTTGAATTGGGCTTGCCAATGTTGCAATTACTTGTGGGCTTTCTTAGATGCAATTGGACATCTCATTTATTGGAAACCCATGTGCATCCGCATGACAAAGCAATACGTCGTCCGACCAAAACAAAAAGAAGCAATACGTCGTCGCATTGTCATCCCTCATCATCACCAACGAAAATACGCATGGAAAAAGACACGTCGTCCATTGATGCGTTTTGTCGCTTATCAATGAAATGCACGACATGTCGTTTTATTTGCTTTTCCCCAAAAAGGTGAGTTTAGAGAGCAGACCAAGGGAACATTGAATTCGGACAATGTCTGAAATACGCCAAAGATGGCATGGAACGCACCAACTACCAGTACCAGACTATTTCTCACTCTCTCTGTGGCCAGCCAGCCATCAAAACCCTTCCACAATAATTCCTCCCACATATCAAATATGCATGCACCTCCATAATTTTTCTTTTCCAAATTTTCATGGTGGTAAACAGGGGCAGCCTTGAGGGTGTGCAAGTGATGTCACCGCACAGGCCCAGAAATATTTTTTACGTGTAGAATATGAATATTAATATTATAGGTATTATATATATACTTGAGCGAGTAGGAAAGTAACACAAGTGTATTTGGTTGAGTTGGAATTCATCCCCTTGATTTTTGTAGGCAAGTTGGGTTCAAGTCTGTATTGTGTCATTCAGTAGTTGCGAAACAAAAAAGTTAATGTCTTCTTCCTCTTCCATTTTCTCAAATTGAAACATTAAAACTTTTATGAATGTTATTTATGATTGCTATTGCATGCTAATGGATGATGAATTTTAGTTATTAAAAAAATTGTTTTATGGTGTTAAGTAATTGATTTTTTTTATATAAATATTTTCATATTAGATTAAGGGCTCCCATTTAAGTTTCGCATAGGGCCTTCAAAATCTCAAAACCGGCCCTGATGGTAAGGGGTTTGTAGATTAAGTAATTAATATCAGTTATTTATGCACCTAAAGTCATGTGTTTCGATCGTCTCTCCCAATATCACTTGTATAATAATCAAAAATCAATTGGCCATGCTCAAATAATAATAATAAGCAGACATCTCTGCATATACAGTAATATAATGCTCAAAGGCCTTTTTAATGGCCAAAGGGAGGTTTGCCTTTTCTTCTTGGTCAGAAGCTTCCTAGGCTCCTAGCCAAAAAAACATTTTCCAACCCATCAACCATCAGATTGGACCAGCTTAATTTATTAGTCCCCACCACCAGAGACCACACCATTCACTATATATCTTGCATGTCACAACCCATATTTTTGCCACCAAATTTGAATAAAGACTTCCTGTTTTTGCTTAACATGGAAGGGAAGAAAGTGGAGAACCAGCAGAAGGAGCAGACTAAGGTAAGAGATCAACCCCGGTATCGAGGGATTCGGAGGCGACCGTGGGGCAAGTTTGCTGCTGAAATACGTGACCCTTCAAGAAATGGGGCACGCCTATGGCTAGGCACATTTGAGACAGCTGAAGAGGCAGCTAGGGCTTATGATCGAGCTGCTTTCGGCTTCCGGGGTCATTTGGCCATCCTCAACTTCCCTAATGACTACCAGTATCATAACCCATCAAGCTCCTTGATCAGCACTTCATCCTCTTCATCTTCTTCTTCATCATCATCTCCATTTTCTGCTGCTGATATTGGAAAGAGTACTAATTTTGGCAGAGGCCAAGCAGAAGATGAAGTTATAGAGTTTGAGTACTTGGACAACATGGTTTTGGAGGAGCTTCTTGACACAAAAGAGGATCATCATAGACAGGGGAAACCAACCCATTAAGGAAATTGACTGGTTTTGCTTGAACTGCAGGCAAAATTGAAGTTGGTTTAGCTCTGTTTGTTTCTTTCAATTTTTACTTTTTTACCCGACAACGTGTGAATTTGTGAAATTCATTGTAGCCAATTGTTACTCTGACTTATTTATCTCTATCAATCTTTTTTTATCTCAGTAAAAACAAAACTTGTGAAGGTAAAAGAATCAGGGAAATTTACCTGATATTATAATGTGGAAACAAATCCGTACATTGGTGAGACCCAAAAAAAAATAATGAAGATGCTGGCTGTTCTTGACTTTTGGTTATGATTTCAAGCAACATAATGCCAATCATTGAGCTGCTATGACCAAATTTTTTTTGCAGAAGATAACGCAGTCAACTCACTCAACAAGGCATCTATGGATCCAAGGAAACACAGTTTCTTACATTTACAGTTGCTCAAGTCATATATTTAATTTTTTATTAGTCTTAAAATATGATATAATGACAGTAATTAAGAATATAATAATTGGGTTCAGGACAAAATAAGATTATAATAGTTGGGTTAATACTAAAACAGAAAGGTAGCTATACATTGACAACGCATGAGCATGACAACTTTCATGGTATTTTCACATTGGAGCAGTGCTTTAATATTTAACCAAAAATTCTATTCAAATGACTCGAATCCTACACCGCCGAAACAGAGAGAACATAAAAAAAATTTGAAGCTTCGATTTGCAGAAACAGAATTCTAAAGTTGATGTTCTGTTTTTCAGTAATTAAGCAAAGATTTGAGTTGTGTGATTTGTATTACACCAAGTTCTTCACTCACTCTTGCTTTTGTTGTCAAAATCAAGAAGGTCCTCTAACACACTGTCATCTAAATACTCAAACTCAAAGATTTCTCTTCCTGTTTCTGTCCTGGTGGTCACATTATTATGCAATGTAGAAGAGGATGAAAAATTAGATGAAGACGAAGACGAAGAAGATGAAGAAGAAGAAGAAGAAGAAGAAGAAGAAGCAGCAGAAGTAGAATGATCAACTTCAGGCAAACCATATTCACTTGGAAAATTGAGAATTGCAAGAGGACCCCTCATGGAAAAAGCAGCTCTGTCATAAGCCCTTGCAGCCTCTTGTGCAGTGTTGAAAGTGCCAAGCCACAGCCGAGCTCCTTGCCGTGTCGAATCGCGTATTTCGGCTGCAAACTTCCCCCACGGCCTTATTCTCACGCCTCTGTACTTCACATCCCTCTGTCCCTCTTCTCTGGCTTTGCCTCTGCTTTGACCTCCTTCCATATGGCCTACTGAGTTAAACTATTGAAGCCTCACTCTGGGAATTTATATTGGGATGGAAATGTGCCTACTTGGGTAGAAACAAAAGTTGACAAATCAGACTCAGATGCCCATTTGATAAAGATTTTTTATTTATTGGTTACGAAGTATTATGACTGTATTGGAGATCAAGGTGATGGCTTTCAAGGAGAGGGTCAATTTTGTGTGTATCTGACATGACTTTTTCCTGTTATTCTTTCCAATTTCAAAACCTCATGAGAGTAGTGGCATCATTTGGATTCAAACAAAGGTGGGTTTGGTTAATTAAGTTGTATTATTAAAAGGAAATTAAAATTAAAATATAACCTGGCAGATGCTGCAGCAGATCATAGGTTCTATGTATATATTTTGTGTGTGCCAATGCATGAATGATTCCTCTGTTCTGGGGACCATAAGAGAGGTTGCTAACTTGGCATTGAGGTCATCGAATTACGTCTGCGTAATTCGTCATCAATCTAGTTTTTCTAATCAGCTATGAAACATAGGATTAAGAAATAGATCAATATAAGTATATGAGGAGGAGGTTGAATTGGGACTGGTGAGAAAGATTCTATTGGAACATGTGTCAGATTTGTTCAAAAGGTGAGGTCACTTGGCTTGCGTTGCTCATAGAGGTCATGGGATGATGTCTTGTAATTTGGGGAAGTTCCTAGGTTCATTAGGGGTGAGGGTGTGGGTGAGGTCAGCTTGCTTACCCTTAAGCTTTTGCTCAGCAAGATTATATGCTGCTGTCAGTTCACAACAAACCATTCGCTTAGAAAGTGGGCATCCAAATTAAGCACAATATGCTTCCAATTGATGAATCCTTCTTTCCCATGTTTTCACTTTATGCAAAAATCTGCCTTGTGATTCTTTTTGTTAGGCAAATTTGTGTCAATGATTTGGAGAAAGTTAACTTATACAGTTTGTATCAATTGGCTTTCCACAATTTGTAATGCAGGTTTTTTAGGTGACAATTTAAGTTATTGCCTTGTTGTTTTTGGTTATGTTTTGGTGATGGTGTGTGGTGATAGCGGCAGGAACAAACAAAACCATTTCTGGGTTATTTTAATCACCACACTGTTTCTTGGTCACGCCAGATTTAAATAAGAGAGAATGTGTTCCACAGGTCAAACAATTTTAATTCTCCATAGGTTCAAGAAAAGAAAGGGGGAAGTAACTAGAGCAAAGTCCAAAGCCATGGGGGTCATCAAATAGTTTTTCAATTCGAACTTTTAAGAGTGCTTAATAATATTCTATTAACAAATGGGTTAGTTTAATTAAGCCAAAAATTAAAAATTGATTTTGTTTATAAGGAGTGGTCCTGCTCTTAAAAAATTACACTCATTCGTAATCAAGGACGTGGTTTTACATAATGTTGGTAATGATGATGTGTGCAAAGCATCAAGAGGAAACATTTGATGAGATCATCATATGAATCATGTATTGTACAATCTAACTATGGCATACAAATGCAACCCGAGATCTTGTGTTCGATTTGTCATCTGTTTCAATATTGCTTGTATGGAGGATGAAAATCCTCCTAGAGAATTCATCAACAAAACATACACATCTTTTCTTCTCTTTCTCTTTCCCTTCTCCCTTGTTCTACTTTCCCATGTTTTCCCGGCAACCAAATGGCAGGGAAACGAATGGTTCCTCTGTTTTGGGGACCATAACATTTGGTAACATGGTATTGAGGTCATCAAATTACGTCTGCCTAATTGGCCATCATAAATTTTCTTATTTTTTAATTGGGTATATACAACATAAGATTCTATTAGATTTGGTTCAAAAGTGAGGTCATTTGGCTTGCGTTGCTCTTACAGATCATAGGATGATGTCTTGTAATTCTGGATTTCCTAAGTTAATTGAGCTGAGAGGGTGAGATCATCTTGCTGACGTTTGAGTTTTTGATCTGCAAGCTTATGCTGCTGTCAGTGGCAAAAGTCCCTAAGCAATCTAAGTCCTAACGTGACATAAATAAAATAATCAATATTTTGTCGATAATAGTGCTATTCAAAAACTTTGCTATGATCGTTGTGGTATTTAAGAGCATTTTTTGCCTATGTGTTTCAATTCATGCTTAAAACTGCCTTGGGGTTCTGTTTGCTTTCTTGTAAACTACTTTAAGTTATGTTTAGGAGAAAATTCTATACTTTGTGTCCATTTGCTTTCTACACTGTGCTCCAAAATGCAGTTGTAGATTTTTGGTGACAGTTTTAGCTATGTTTTGGTGATGGTGTGGTGATAGCAGCAGGTGCAAACAGAGGCCTTTCTAGGTTATTTTAATCACCATTCTGCTTGTTCCATGTGGTCATCTTTTTAATTGATTTGATGTTGAGAAAAGGAAGGGGGGAAGTAAATAAAGCAAAGTCCAAAGCCGTGAGGGGTCATCAAATGGTTTTCAATTCTACCTTCTAGAGTGTTTAATAGTATTCTATTAACAAATGGATTAGTTTAATTAAGCCAAAACCATTGATCTTGTTAAAAAAAGGTTGTCCTGCTCTTAAAAATTACACTTAATCGTAATCAAGGACCTTGTTTCGCATAATGCCAGTAATGATGATGTGTGCGAAGCAGCACAGGAAACAATTGATGAGATCACTTCATGAGCAAGGCAAGGTTTAACAAATATAAATACATATGTATATATTCCAGTAGTTATGACATTATTGCATACATGAAAAACATCACTAAACCATGACCAGATGATCATAATGCAAGTATTCAGCAAAGCAACCACACAGGGAAGCAAATTATTCTTACAATACAGCAGACTAATGTTTACAATGTAAGAACTACAGGCAGGGGCACTGATAAACGCTTCAAGCCTGCATCTAATCTGTATTTGTTACAGAGGATAGTAATTCAGAAACAAGTAGACCAAATGTGAAAAATACATCAATAAACAAATTTATGACTGTTTCCTTTTTCTGTCCAGATAAAAGTAGCTACGCTGAAAGCTCAAGATTGACCAAGTGAAATGCCGGAAACCAATCTCTGGCCAGAGCACAGATGGAGAGTACAAATAACAGTGTGCACTCTGCCACAAAAGAAAATTGCTCAACCGGGTCTCGCCAGAAGTACGGATTAGAATATCAGGGTCAGGTGCAACAGCCATGTACATATGCTTTTCAATATCTGTCAATTTTACAATGTTCTCCCTTTCTTCCTTTTCATTCCCTCCAAGTTGAAGTAGACCATACCCAGCTCCACTTGCATTCATTACACTGATTTCATCTGATTTTTCTTCGCACGATTCTTGAACAGCATGCACAATCTCATCAGTGGAAGTGTAGGCAATACATATTGACAAAACTCCGCTGGAGTTGTTAGCAGTGGCCTCCATTGCCCTCTCAGCTGCCAACCTAACAGGTTCACTCAAGAGTTTTAGGTTCCCTATAAAGTGTACCCTAATTCCATAGCGGTTAACTATGCTTTCTTCCTTGATTAACCCTTCTATTTTCTCCTGCATCAGGTTCATCAAGGATTGAACTTCTTCAGGGTCCCTTTTGAAATTATCAATACTAAAGGCATATATAGTCACATATCTAACTCCCAACTCATAACAATACTTGAGCATGGTCATCAGAGCCAAAAACCCAACCCTATGTCCATCCCCTTCCTTCAACTTCCGCTTTTTAGCATATCTTCGATTTCCATCCATGATGAATGCAATGTGATGAGGTATAGGACGAACAGAAATTACAAGAAAAAGACATCTCCTCAAGAAACTAACTATGCTCCAAAAAATCTGGGTTGCTTTATTGCCATTGCTTTTTTCCATCCTAGAACCATGTACAACTGCCGAGTTCTGCTAAAACCTATTTGACCTGTTAATTAATAAACAAACTTTAGTTCAAACTCCTGAAGTTAAAACATGGAACCACTGAAAAATCATGCCTTAAAATGTAGTTCAGCCTATTAACCTATAACCACAATCATATAAAGATTGAGTTCCAGCATAGTATGCTTAACAGCAGGTGTGGCTTTTCTACTTTTAGAATGATCTCCATTGAGGTATCACGCATTAACATCTTAAACCAAATCCCTCAAAATTGAATAATCACTTGTCTGGCAGATATTAGTCATAAACAAATGAATACAGTGCGCACACAGCAGTTCGAAAATTACAACAAAAAAAAAAAACAGAAGGCAAATAGTCAAGAAACCAATGCTTGAATATTAGAAAATCACAATACTTTGTTGTGCTTTTTAACTGTGGTAAATCAAGATTCGGAAATAATCACACCACAATGCAAACAACACTTGAGCAGAATAAAATGAACCAAGGAATAAAGATAGCGCACAAGGGATTTATGAGATTTGGCAAAATCCAGCCTATGTGACTACGTCCCCGGATAGAGTTATCCTTCACTATGAGAACAATAACAGTACAAGACAAACTTGAGTTAAATCAACATAACCCAAACCATAACCCCTGTGCATCCACTCACAGTATTTCTCTCAAACACCCATGTTTCAACTATTACATGCACTCATCAAATGAATCACATTCTGCCCATTAATAGGCAGTTGGTTCAATGTGAAAACAAAGCTTCTACAATTGTCTTCAATTTTTCAGCCACCATTTCATGCAACATGGCTTCCTCTAAAAGCCAATCCTCTAGTTAGATCTACAAGGACATAGGATGCTGCACCATTTACTACATGGTCCCATTTTTACCAATTTCAATAAACTTGGTACTGTGAACATTGAAAAGACATTGACAGTTACCTAAATTTGTACAAGTAGAACAATACCTTGAACATCTTGTTGTGTTACTTGTGTATTCTATCTCATGCATATAGTCAATTTGGCGTATAGGCTTCTATGACCAAAATGGTAAAACCAATCAGAATAAACGACCTCGTTTAATATGCTTAGAGCTGTAACTACTGATTAAAAGCCGCAAACATAAAAAAGGAAAGTGAAGTTCTGAATTTGAGATAAATTGGAAATGACAGAAACCTAATAGCCTCCCTCCATTGAACCCAAGATACAAACTTTTCTGGTTCCCAGGAAGGAAGGTCCCATCTTTTAGACGAAAGTTGATTGATTTTTCCTTTTCGATTTCTCGGAGACCAAACAGAGGCTTGGAAAATGAGAGAGAGAGAGAGAGAGAGAGAGAGAGTTACCGGTTAACCAAATACAGAGTGGGATCAAAGTAGCAGCAGGGGAGGGAAGTAGAGTAGACCAGTCCCAGTGTGAGAGTGAGAGAGTTGAAAGACAATTTGGCTACTTCGGGCCCCCCTTTGAAGTTGGAATTTGCACACATGTTTACCGACAGTTCTACCCGTGTTCCTTCAGTCAGTGTGGCTATTTTGCAATTTTGCAACTGAAGAAGGACCAATGAGAATAAGACGACAGACTATTCAGGCCAACTCGTGAATATACCAAAATAGGGCAAACACACACAACAAACGACCTTGGGGTCAAACCATGAATAACGATAAATAGATAATGTCGCTTTTAGTCTACTACATTACAGAAACAGCGAGGGTAGTTTTGGATCTTCACGTCTCATTTCCTCTGCGTTTTCACGTGTGGTTTCCAGAATTATTCTTTTCACACGTGTGTTTCTTCTTCTTCTTCCTTCTTCTTCCTTCTTGATTTATCCGAAATGGCGGCAAGTTGACTGTGGAGCTTAGGAGTGGCTTAGGAGTAAGCTCCTGAGCTCCTAATTTCGGTGGCAGAAATGAAATCTGTTCATTTCTCACACCTTTCACCTCCAATTCGTGCCTTCAACCCTAATAATCATACTTCATCATCATCTTTTTCTTCTTCTTCAATCACTCTTCTCCAGCGCTGTAAATTCAGCTCTGTTTTTCTCACCTCCACTTCCAGGCCCTCCCGCTCAATCATGCTTTGCGCTCCCAATTCCACCAAAGCGACGTCGTCGTCGTTGTCCCAGTTCGAATCGGTGGCAGCGGAGGGCATAAAGGAGGCTTCTTTTCAGGTTCAAAACGACGCTTCGCAAAGTCCGTGGAATGTGGAAGTCGGAAAACCTAGCGTTCCGTCTCCGTCGGTGGCCAAATTAAGCTTGAGCGACCAGGCTTTCTTCCTCTTGGCCTTCGTCGCCTGCACGGTATATAAGCCTCAGTTCTTTTTTTCTTTGCTAATATAGTTTAATATGTAATTCTGTTGTGGAAATTGGGATCAATTTGGAAACTTTTTTTTTACATAAATGAGAAATGATAAGATTTAGTTAATTATGTGCATACACTGCTGATATGTTAATTGATTTCATTGTGCAGACTTCTGTGGCATTTACGAGCCTTGTAATTGCAGCTGTCCCGACACTATTTGTAAGTTTTCCTTAATATTTCAATCCAAAGGAAAAAGCAATCACTGAAGTGCTGAGGAAATCAGTTGAGTTTTAGGGAGTTCTGACTTTTCCATGGCATTTCCTTTTTTGCCAAAACCCCAAACCCTGAATCAGATTCTATTCTTTTTCCGTCTATCTTTGTACTGCTTGTTATTGGGTCTTGATATTTTTGGTTTTGTTATTTGGATGAGTTTGAGTGCTATTTGGATTGTCAGAAGATTTATTGTGCAGTGCTTTGCATGGAATGGAATGTTTGAAAACTCCTGGCATTGACTCATGGCTTGAATGGTCTTGGTCTTTTGAGTCCTTGTCTTGAGTTGGGCATGAACCCAAAAGCAAATTAGAATTTTAAGTCTTGGTAAATGACTTCTTTTGAGGTAGCTTTAGGTGCCCTTTTCTTTGGTTAAAATCAGATGTTCAAGGTCTTGTCCAAATTCTTGTTCCAATGTGGCTGTTTGTGATATGTTCTGTAGGCAATGGGGAGAGCTGCAATATCTCTTTCAAAGCTGGCGGATACAGCTCGTGAAGAACTCCCCAGTACTATGGCTGCCATTAGGCTTTCGGGCATGGAAATAAGTGATCTTACACTGGAACTGAATGATCTGAGGTGATAATTAAATCTTTATTACCTTAGTCTCTGACCCGTGTTCTGTTTTACATGGTTGCTTTATAGCTTCTCTTCATAGTTAAACTCCCCTCTTTACTATGAGCTATCCATCATTTTCTAGTTTATAACCCCAAAACGAATCCATTCAATTGTCGACTGTATTGTTCCATGCATACGTGCCCACCTGCAAAAGCAATGGGGTTTCCAAGGGGGACAAATTCAATCTTGTCTGGTTTTCTTTTTTCCCCTAAAATATTTGTTATAATCTGGTGTTTACTTCCAGAAATACACTAAACCAGGTTTGATATGAGGATTACTTCACAAGGCAATTTGGTTACCACTCGTGTCTGTCAATACATTTGAATTTAATTTCTGGGTTTTCTATATATGGTTCACTTCACGTAAGGTTTTTTTTTTCTTTTCACATTTTGAATATTTATGTCATGCTTTTATTCCATTCTGCATTCAGCCAAGAGATCGCTGAGGGGGTCAGCAAATCCACTCAAACTGTTCAAGCAGCAGGAGCTGGGATTCGGCAGATTGGTACACTCGCACAGCAGCAGACTATGTGTACGTTTATCTGACCTCCGGATAGAATTCATTTGCTTCGGTTTTCCTTAATATGGTCTTTCTATTGATCTTCACTTAACTTCTGAACTGTTATTATGAATTTTTTATGATACAGCAATGATACAAGAGAGGGCGAACCTGCCCATCATCTCTTTGCAACCAGCTGTTGTTGGAGCAGCAAAGAAGACTACTCGTGCTGTTGGCCAAGCTACCAGGATCTTCATGAATATAATATCTCCAAGGGACTCGGAGAAGGTCAATGAGGAGGACATTGAAATTGATAGGGTGGAACTTTAAGTTTGCCGCACTCATAATCAGTAGCCATTTTTTCACGAACTTTGTGTGCATAATACTTGTACAGTTTCCAGAGCATGTGGACCGACTTAATTATTTGTTATTGGAAATGTCCCGGAGTTAGGGATAAGCAGTGAAGATAAAATTGCCTCCATTGAAGTCCTAAGCTCCCGTTGCAGGGGTGGTCCAATTGTTCATATTGAAGCTGTCAAAGGAGTAAGAAGTTCCTAAGCTCCTATTGGAAATGTGGTCTTTTTCTAATGCAAGATTTCTATATTACCTTTCCAAACTTATGAGGTTGACCAGTAAATTTAAATGTTGATAGAATCTTTGATTTATATGTATTGAACCTTTACCCTAGTCAAGTGTCAAGGTAAGCTTGTTGAAATTAGAACTACAAGGATAAATGTGATATCGATTCGAAATTAGAAGAACGGAAATGGAGAAGTTATGGGTATCTGGTAAGATGTGCATAACTCTGTTCAGGACCAAATTAATCTTGCATCACATGTTCAGGGCCAAATTAATTTTTCTCCCGTCCCTCCCTTCAGAAGATGAACACTGTTCAGGACCAAATTAATCTTGCATCATATATCTGAAGTTAATCCCAATATTTTATTATAGTTTTCTACAATCAGTTGAATTGAAACATGGAAAGAAAATAATGTAGTTGACTTGGGAGAACAAAATATGATTGACCACAAATATTTGAAAAAGAAAAATGGCCGGTGGGGATTTTGGTTTGTTATAACTCACTCACGTGCATCAACCGGGTGATAAGAAAAGAAAGGAAAGGAAATTGAAGGTGGCTTTTGTTTATGAAGAAATTAAAGTAAAGATCAGGTAATATTAATTAATAAATAAGTAGTAGTTGTATCATAAGATGATAACTTAAGATAATAGCATAGGATGATAATAATGTATTACTAGCAAATGATTATAAAATTATAATTATTGTTATTATTATTCTAAGATGATAATGTTTGTTATTTCCTGGATTTTCCATGTTGGATTTTTCCAATGGGCACCAGGCTTGTAATTACAGCTTCATCTACAAATTGATACTTTTGAGGCATTGGCCCCCATTCAACGAAAAGAACCAAAAATAAAAAATTAACATTGTTTAATTAGTATGATTATGACAAGGCAAGGGTTGAAATTGACTGGCATTTTGCAAGTTCAATGAAGAGAAGAACTTGATTCATATTTAGTAAAGTAGCTGCCCAAATATGTTTATTTGACGGATCAAAACTAGAGCTGGAGAGAAATGTCAAAAGCTAGTCCTGGACTTGCCAATCAAACGACATCAATATCGTGTTTGATTTCTACACTCTTAATATCGCTTGTAATTCAAAAAAAAAAAACATTAAAAGTGCTCCTCAAACTAATTACGCTTTGATCTCCCACTTTTCAAAACTCAAAAGCATCATTGATATTCTTCATAAAAGGATTGAACACAAACAATTAGGTTTATGTAGTTACTCATCGTCATAAGAATCTGTTGTTGAAATACAGCTACAACCATACAGTATCCGACGGCGTGGGAAAGTTGAAAATTGTACGTGCATAAATATGCAAATGCAAGCTGGCAACTCTATCGATGATGCATATATATAGGTTAAGGACCAAGTTAATTGAATACGAATAAATTGCTAGTATATGCTCCTTGTGTTGAATTGAAAATGCTAGCCACTCTAATATGCTTTGACTTTCTTAATTAGCCCGCCCTCATTTTTAATCTAAATTATTGATATTGAATATGGTTCCAACTTCCCCAAAAGAAATATAGTAGTATAACATTGCATACTAATGTGTTATGGAAAGCTTCAAAATTTATGGAGGGAATTGACTTTGCAAATGTTCTAGTTTACTTTTTTTCGATGATGTGGCAACCCGTAACTGGATGACGGGACTTTTGTGTCAAGGATTTCTGATTTGCCACTTGTCATGGAAAGTTCCTTAAGGCACTCCCTCCCCACAACAATTTCTATTTCAAAATATTCTGTCAATGTTTTTTTACCAAAAGAATTGCAACTTGTTCTTTGTTAATGTTAACATATATTTCTCCATCTCCACAACTTGTTGATGCATGTGGAATATGACAGAAGACTTCCTATAAAAGGCAAGTTGCAACCAGTTTTTTTTCCAGCATGTTTGCTTTGGAGTGAGTACATTGAGACAACCATTCTTCTGTTTCAAAGATTGACATGGAGACACTACTAGATCAAAAGCTTGTTTCAAGCTGGTTTGATGTTCAATCTGTGCCCCAAACTTATGTCCACCCACCCGAAAAACGACCCGGGAAGCTCAACGTTCCGCTATGCAAGCACATCCCAGTAGTTGATCTTGGAAGCCATGATCCCCGTGACACCATTCATCGAATTTCCAAAGCTAGCGAAGAGTTCGGATTTTTCCAGGTTCAGGATCAATCACCTTCTTCAGCTTTGCACTTGTTTTATCTTGTTATTTACATAAAATTTTAGAGTTCCATTGTGATCATAAAATAGTACTACGTTCTCTCAGGTCATCAATCATGGTGTTCCCATTAAGTTAATTGATGACACAATGAGTGTTTTCAAGGAGTTTCATGCACTGCCCCAAAAAGACAAGGCAATTGAAGGCTCCAAGGACCCAAGTAGAAGCTGCAAGCTCTACACAAGCAGTGAAAACTATGCAAATGAAGAGGTTCACTACTGGAGAGATGTCTTGACCCACCCTGGTCATCCCTTTGAACACTACATACAGTTTTGGCCTGAAAAACCAACTCGATACCGGTATGTGGCCTTGTATGCAATCATGTAAAAAATATATGATCTTTCAAGCTTATAATTGCTTAACCTTGTTATATCTAAGCAGAGAGGTTGTTAAGGCTTATTTGGAGGAGGTAAGGAACTTGAGCTATGTGATTTTGGAGCTGCTTGCTGAAGGCTTGGGAATTGGCACTGAGTTCTTCTTTGGTGGACTTACTGAAAGTCCAGTGCTGTTGTCCAATCATTATCCACCATGCCCAGACCCTAGTTTAACATTGGGATTAACCAAACATTGTGACCCTACCCTTATAACCATTTTACTTCAAGATACAGATGGCCTTCAAGTTTTCAAGGATGGGAACTGGATTGGTGTTGAGCCTGTTCCTAGTGCTTTTGTGGTTAACATAGGCTATGTCTTGCAGGTACGTTTTTAAAATGTGATATGAAAATATGGTCTCCCTAGCATTATTCGAGTTAATATACTAATTAACTTCATGATGTGGACTAATGCAGATGATCAGCAACTCGAAGTTTAAAGGCGCCGAGCATAGAGTGGTAACAAATTCAAGAGTTGCAAGGACAACAATCGCATACTTAATTCATCCATCGAACGAGAGCCTTATAGCACCTGCAAAATCTTTATGCAATCCACCATTGTACAGGTCCATGAAGTTTAAAGAGTTCCTCAGAAACTTTAAATCCAAGGCTGCTAATGCTGAAGCTGTGTTGAAGGTTATAAGCCTCTCAAGTAGCTAGTGTGGTGATTTGCCAAGACAAATCGCCATACAAATTCTATTTCTGTACGAAAAGGTTTTAAGACTAGGTTGTTATACCCAAAAAAAACTACTTGCATAGTTGATATGATATTTTGCTTTAAATTATGTTCTGTAAATGAAGGATGCGATTGTATTTGTACTGGTGCACGAGTTCTTATGCAAAAATTATTGAAAACAGCATAAAAAAACGTAAGCTGGTTTAGACACAAGCTAAGCCTTATAAAATAAAACTGGTGCAGATAAGGACATGGGCATAATCAACCAACCAAAAGAAGAAAGATTAGATTAAAAATCTGAATTATATATGCCTGCAAGAGCCAATCATCTCTACTTAATTCCAATTAATACTCATAATCAGCATCTGCTGCTTTGTCTACTTGAATTATATATGCCCACAAGACCCAACAATCTCTGCATAACTCCAATACTTATCAGCATCCTCTGCTTTGTCTGGTTAATTGATTTGGATATATATATATATGAAAAATAATTATGTGGAGGTTGAGACATTCAAATCATGAGCTTTATTGGTATTGCTTGGCATATAATATATCTAGGTTTTTGACTTTGGAGGTGCAGTGTTGCACAAGTTGTGTGTAGTTTTGGGAAAGAAGAAAGCTATAGTTGACTTAAGAGTTATCACATGCAAATATGATCTATAATATAATAGATTCACCAGGACATGTGCATGTCTCAGAATTCAAAATGCCCAAATTGCCTTGAAAGAATTTGATGAAATGGGCTTGTACCAGGTGATGTTTCAGGGAGGGGACAAATTCCAAGATGATGATTTTTATTTGCCATGAAGAGACATGGTCCAACAAAATAGTAGTAGGCCAACTCCGCAAATAACCTTTATAAGTCTTGCCCAATAACACATTCTTTCTGATCAATGAGAGGGCGGATTTAAATTTGGAATCTCTTTCAATATCAAGAGAAGAAGTACCATTAAGAACTAGTTAAGTTTAATATCACCTTAATCACTCTATCTCTTGCAGTCTCTAATATATAGTCTTTAAGTCATGTCATAAAAAGATAGGTATGGGACCTACATTGTTTCCCACAAGTGTGTGACCACAAAACCAGTCCAAGACAAGAGACCAATCTTCCAAAACCTGTATGATCTTTCAATTTAAGATCTCACTGAACCCATTGATCATAATCTATATATCAGCATCTGTGGCACCATTACTCCCATGTTTCAGCCACATACAGACCATTTGTTTATGGCTCCAAAGCAGAAACACTTGTACAAATTTGACCAAGCTCTACCACCCATAAAAAACCAGGTAAACTCATACTATCAGCCACCCCTGCCTAGCCCAGACTCTTCTTTTCCTGTATTAGCTATTGTTGTACTAAGCATCATGGCCACAGCTTTCTTGCTAGTGAGCTACTATGTCATTGTTGTCAAATTTTGCTCAAATTGGTACCAAATTGATCTGCTGTCAAGGTTTCCTATCTTTCGAGCTCGAGAAACGGAGGATCTTCTTACAGCCTTCTCTCCATCAATTTGGAACCGGGGGCTTGATGAATCAGTCATTCGCGGAATCCCAACTGTTCAATTCAAAGGAGGAGAAGTTGAAGATAGAAATGTTTGTGGATGTGCAGTTTGTTTGAAAGAGTTTCAGGAGCAAGATACACTAAAAGTTCTTCCCAACTGCAACCATGAGTTTCACTTAGACTGCATTGATATATGGCTTCAAAGCAATGCAAACTGCCCTCTTTGCAGAACAAGCATTTCAGGTACTATCCGGTATCCGACTGATCATGTCATAGCACCAAGCACTTCACCTCAAGACTCTGAGTTGTTTTCTCATAGCTTCATGGGCAGTGAAGAGGACTTTGTAGTAATTGAGTTGGGGGGAGAAGATGGTGTCATTTTCCACCAAGGCAGCAGCAAAGAAATGATTATAGAAAGTCATAGGACAGCCTAGAAGAAGTCAATCACCAAGAAAAATGGAGAAGCTCAGAGACTTAGAACCAAGAATGTGATAGCAGAATCGAAAGGTTTGTTTTCGATTTCGACATGGCCGAGTATCTAGAAATGCAGTTTTTCCTGATGAGTGTGCCTGTAATTCCTTTCTCTTTTTCTTCTTTTGTTGATAAATTTTGTTAGTTGGTGTTTGGTATTAAGGTGAGATGGTGGAATTGTTAACTTGCAATTGATAGTTACTTAGCATGAAATAGACGAATGTAGAGTTACTTTGGGTTGATATTAGACACAATGAGAAGCTTTGGACAATTGGGATTCTTGCTTAATCCTGAAACGCTGGCATGGGTTTTGAGAATCATTGCTTTGTTATCTTCTTCTTCTTCTTCATGAATGAAAATGATTACGTTAACCCTCTTCTTTTTCTTTTATACATATATAGAGTTTCAGAGAGAGAGAGAGAGTATAGGGACCCAGATGCTAGAGAAAAGCAGGACAAAGATTTCCCTGGAAATTATCTCACTTCTTTTGTCTTGAAGCCATCACATGAATGTTGGTGAGTGCTGAAGGTATTCATTATTGTGTTGAGTTTAATTATGGCATTACGTTCTCACTGTTTCATTCAGAAGGAACAGAAACATACTGTATACATGTGCTTGTAAGGATAATAAGTGTGGCAAAAAGGCTTGTAGGATCCTTTCTTAGCTGAGCAATTAAGGACCAAGAGCATTCTTAAACAGGCTAAATTCCAAAATGCTGGCTAAAATCATCAACTTTCAGCAAAAGAAAAAGGATTATTATTTCCGTATCACTGCCAAAGATGACAAACATTTCATTCAAAATAAATTTGATGATCCATAACAATGAAATTTATTTTAGTACACAATACTTATCTATATGAAGACATCCCTAATTCCCAAAAACAAAAGAACTAGGAATCCCTGAAAATTGTGCTGTTTACACGACTAGCTACGTAACACAACCAAAAAATTAAAACCAGCAACCAGAGACCCCCACCATTCGATGAAGCTAACCAATCCTTGCAATGTTCTTATGCAATGGATCAATTAATTTGAGCATCTTCTAAATTATGTCCAATCAATTCTAATTCACAGGCGAAAGGCTTATGAACTCCTGGCAGATGGATGAGTTTGGGGTAAGGGCAAGGCCTTTGTAGTATGCTCATCATTTGCAAATGTGCCACGGGCTTTTTTCTTCAATTGTTCGAGAACTCGGTGTGCTTCTTTGAGTTCGTCTTGAGCACTTGGTCCATGGCTTTCCCAAGCATCAACTACTTGCTGCTGGAATTGGATTGCAAGGGCATAGCTGAAAAATCCAGGAGATAAATTATGAGATATACATATATTTATCCTCAATAGTCAACATACAACAAAACATCTTTACTAAATGCACCAATCATCTCGCTTAATTTCTGCTTGATAAATAGAGACATGAAAGGATTATGCATGTGACTACAATTAAGTTGCAATACGTATTAAGTTTACTTTCTCCTAACAGGAACTACCGGAAATAGCACAAAGAACTAGGTACTCGGTGAATTATATATCAAATTCAGCAATGCAAGAATTACAAGTCAAAGGAGTAACCATCTTAGCAGATACACAAGTGCAATGTAATTTCAATATCGAATGAATTAATAAATTCCAACAATAAGAACATATGCTGGAAATGTAGCCAAAAACCAGAAAGAGCATTCATACCTTTTCATGGCATCATATGCTTTTGAGAGGTTCTGGCATGACTCAATTGAATCTGCATGATGGGGGCCAAGCGAAAAATCCATGATGTCCTTCGCAACAGCAAACATCTGAGCAGCTGACTGAGGTCTGTCTAGTTCCAAATATGCTGCCCCCAAGTTATTGTATATATAGCCCACACCAAAATGCTTGGGACCAAAGCTCTCTTTCAACCTCTCAGCTGCACTCTCCAAGTAAGGAACAGCCTGTGAGACCTTTCCCGTCAACAGAAGTAACCACCCTATTCTAGCCGAAACACTCCCCTCGGAGTGCTGTTCTTGTGGGAGCTTCTCAAGCAAAGCCAATGTTCTCTTTAACAGTGAAATTGCAGTCTCAAACTCATTCATAGATTCGTATTGCATTGATATCTCTGAGTATGCCTCAGCAACATCTACCGGGGAGACTGTCTCTTTCTTGTCAAGAATTCCACAAGAAATCTCCAAACATCTCTTTGCATCGGCAAATTTTTCCTGATTACATAAGGCTTTTCCCATCGAGATAAACACCAGTGCCCTAGTCTCACTCTCCTTGTCTGTTTGCTGAACAACAAGCTTCAAAGTATCAATAGCCTCATCAAACTTTCCCAGTGCAATCTGCATATTAGCAGCATCAATCTCTGCACGAAGCAAATCAGAACTAAGACCCCAATTCTTCAAAACCCTTTGTGACAACTCATTTTGCTCCAAGGCCTTCTCATGCTCCTCCAACCCAGTATAAATAACAGCAAGAAGCCTCCTGTCATGTGCAACCTCCACCGAATTCTGCCCCAACTGCTGTCTGTGAATGTCCAATGCCTTCATACAGAAGCATAATGCATCCTTAAAGTTCAAAAGAGCGACATATGCCTCCGCCAAATCCCGGTTCGCCTTGCCAAGTTCTGTACTATCTTTCTCCAGCATCAACTCCTTAATTTCCAAACACTTCCTAAGATTCCCAAGAGCCTCCTCTCTCCTCCCCATTGCCGTCTTTACATTTGCCAGCTCGAGCTGTACAGCATGAAGCACAGGCCTAATATCCCGAACATCAAAACCCTCCTCCTCTAATCTACCCAATGCTCTATTAGCCATGTTAAGGTACCCCAAACTATCACTAAACCTTTTTAAGCTATAATTGGCAGAACCCAATAATTGTAAAGCCATGGCAACAGGCAAAGAAGGTTTATCATCTCTATCCAAAGCTTTCAAGGCTCTGGTAGCAAAAGACAGAGTCTTTTCAGGGTCCTCACCTTCTTGGTCAAGTTTGAGGCCAACTTTTAAAGAAGCCAAACCAAGCTCTCTCTCATCAAAAGCTGACTCCATGTTCTTGAAAGCCTTAAGCATTTCTTCAGAAGTCTTTGCAGACTCGAAAGCCTCTTCAAGCTCAGATTTTTCCATGGACTTTCTCTGCCTTGAGGACACTTGAGGTGATCTTTCAACAAGGGTGTTCATATTTCGAGATAGGTTTGCTTGGAATTGACTGCTTTTGAAGAATAAGCCATGGGTTTCGGTGCAGGGCCTGAAACGGGTCGGTGAGACCAGCGGCGAAGAAGATGAGGAGGAGGTGCGGTCAGAAATGTAATTTCTGGAAAGAAGGGGAGTAGAGGATTTAAGTCTTTGACGAGTGAGATGAGAGAACAGTGAGATTGGAGATTTTCTCATGGCCGGAACTGTAAAGTTCTGTAATTTTGTGAGTGTTTGTTTGGGATTTTGCTAAAACCCTATGCGAAAACCCTCGCGCTGCTTCTGCTTTTGGTGAGTTGGATGGAAGCCTGTGAAGTGAAGACGAAGGACAAAAAGAACAAGGAAAACTAAAATGTTACCCAAACGGCGTCGTTTGAGATAAAAATTTCCATATTTTCTCTACTGCATTAACTTTTTGGCAGATATTAAACAATTTAAACAAATTTAAAAATCACTTATCAAATAAATTCGTGGAATGTAATTGCACAATTTTGGAGGGCTTCTGGTTGTTCTTTGGCCTCAGTCACCCTCACACAAGTCGAGCATTGGCCGATCAAGAATCGATTGAATATATATACAGAAAAGAATACACAGATTCCTTAAATGAGTGTATTATAAACAGAAATCACATTCCAGTAGCTAAAAACCACCCAAATAATTAAGCAAGAACCTCTTGAAAAAACTAGAGGGAACGAATGGATCACTAAAAGTTTGGGGGCTATGGCTATATCTTGGGAGTTTCAGGAGGTCTACTATATACATCATCAAAATGAAGATTGAAGTCCCCTGCCTCTAAGTCTAAGTCATCCATGCAAGTCGTTCGGGATAACTTGTGATAGTTCTTCCAATCTAAGTGTTCTTCTTGTTCTTTTTCCTCTAAGCTTCTATCTGAGAAATTTTCATAATAATTATCTGAAGGCTGGCGGATGAAATCTGGAGGCTCAATAAAACTTGACTGGGGCTGTGTAACATGTTGGCCGAACTCTGGGGGCTCAAGGAAACTTGACTGGGGCTGTGAACCATGATGTTGGCCAGTCCTAGCCCACCAATGACTCCCTGTTGGATGCGCCAAATTACCACCATCATGATGCTGAAGTACACTCCCTCGGTGGAATGGGGCCGACGTGGAAGCCCCCAGATTAGACTGTGTACGGTCCTCATAATGATGCCCCCAGAGTTCTTCAAATCTCACTTGATTATCTGTAAAGTTAGGTGGCATCCAATCAGCAGAATGTTGCTCAGTAACTTCAATTGGTTCTTCTGGAATGTCCCCCGTATAACTTGTTGTATGATGCGGCCGAGAGGTGTAATACCAATCAAGGAGATATGGGTGATTTTTTTGATCTGCATCAATTAACCAAAGAGACCCCAACTGAAAGCCAGTTCCAAGGGTATGATGTGGCCTTTCCCTTAATAAAAAGTTGTTCCTGTCACCAAAGCCTCTTGGAGGAGAATATCCATGTCTAGTTCCTTGTCCCTGCAACTTTTGTTCCCTGAAAGTTCTCAGCTTTTTAAGAAACTGATTTCCTTCAGTATTTGGGTCCCATGATGGATAGTTACTCTGGAAGCTGCCACAAAAATTGGAAAGGTCATTAGAATTGAGATGTGGAAAGGAAATCATTTGGGTGGCGCCTAATTAGCATCCCAAGAAATACTTATGCTCTAAGTGGAAAACAGGGAGAATACTGAAATAGCGCAGGGATATTGCATGTTTCTGATAACTACTTTATTGCAGCTTAAAAAATTGTGAGCACATCATATGAGTAATGCTTTTGTGATCATACCTCAAGAACGATTTCTCCATTTTTCCCTGAGAACTCCTCTGAGAGCGAGGCAAATTGTAAAGTGACCCATAATTGCTATTACCATGTCTTTGAAAGTCAAAGGCACTAAAACTGCCAAGAAATCAAGAGGACAGTCAAACTTTGGAATCTTGTCAATGTTAGAGCAAACATATCCAGTAATGGCTCTCTACAGAAAGCTTTAGAGGATATGGTGCTAGAATAAAAATGAAAAGATGGTGACAACAATGACGATGATGAATACCAACCTACACACATGACCAACACCTTCAACATCCGCTGTGAACTCTGCAATAAACTCTAAAATGTCATCCACCCGCTGCAAAATAACAAAAAGCATATTAGATCAAGAAACTGCAAATAATTTATAGATGGCATAAAAATAAAAGCAGATTAACAATTTTGATAAAACTGACCTTTGGGACGACAAATAAAAGTAAATATGGAGTAAGGAAGATTGAGGCCATCTCCTCAAGTAACATCATTCCAGTATACTGCGTTTGAAGAAACAGAAAAAGGGGGGAAAACCCAAATAGCATGAGCAGCAACTTAATTTGTGTTTTAGTCATAATATGTCATAACTGTTATTTGTTTCCGTTGACGGCTATAATTAAATTAAATGCTGAAAAGGGTAGACCAATCTTCACGCATAGGTAATATAGTTAAAAACCAAAAACAAAATTATTTTCAAAACAGGATAGAATCATGAACAATCAAACATTTACTGGGAAGTAAGTTAAGACTATGTAGAATCAACTATGTATGTAATGCAGAAATGGGCCCTAGTAAGTATCTGTGGTTCACCAACTGGCAATAGATATGCTCCATCTTTCCAGACCTTATCAACAGAAGCTACTCTAAACCACTATAGTGGCATGCCCATAACTTATGTCCTCATATCAATCCCAGTTTAAGATAAACAATAGGAAATGAAATGTCCCTGGATTACCTGAAACAGGGTTTCAAACTCTATCCGAACCCTCTCAGTATTCTCTTTACCACGCCATGTCTTCGGCATATAATGTGTATATTGCACCACCATAGACATGGCCCCCTCTGGATCAAGGACCAATAGCTCATCGGTAATGGCAGCCCTGCTAATAGCGGTTATAGTTCCAAAAACAGCAGCATACCAGAACAAGTTACGACCAAATATCTGCATGATTCAAAAATATTTTAAAAACAAAATAACTTAGAGTTAGCATCGATATCTATACAGACAGCCTAACATGGCATTAAGTACAAATATCAATATCTTACATGGCCCTCCAGCAGAGATTCCTCCAGAAATGCGATGATGATTAGAATAGCAGCAAAGCCACCAGAAACAAAAGAGATGAACTTTGCTATTATAGATATAATAGGAGAAGGAAATTGCTTCAAGTAATCAGAAGCATGCACTATGCTGCTATTGATTCGGTGCTTAAACAAATGGTCCACCTGCCACATCACCATACCAGTTGTAAAATTAATCCAAAAAGAGAAAAATACAAAATACCATATAGACATTGCAAACAAAAAACCAGTCAGGAGGAGAGGGCAACATTTGTTTTAGAAATATGCATAAATGCACAATTTCATTAAATAAAGTAAACCCAACATGTTAACCGTGCCAATTCAGAAAAGCCACAATTTTTCATAAGGTTTCACTTTCATATGAATTGGGGAACCAAGTTCCAAGTGTCCTCATGTGAACTGTTTCTTAATGTAAGAATCTGATGCCAAAAATTTAATCGAGAATGCATGTTTCAATATTAGCATAAGTACCAGACATGGGGTTAGGATCATGTTTAACTTAATAGAAAGAAGAAAAATATTACCTCATTAAATTCCCTAAACATCCACCTTGATAAATTTGACCATCTTCGAGATGATGCAGTGCTTGGATGATTATAAAATTGTTCTGCATGCCTCAGGAAGAGATATACCAGCATGAATATGACAAGAAATGGCGAGAGGAGAAGCATTACGAGCCCAACTACCATAAGCCTTTTCTTTAATGTTCTTGGATTTGATATAAAGTCCCTTCTAAGACAAAAATTTCTGCAGCAAGTGTACACAACATCAAAACTTGGAAAGCACACAGGACAAACTCCAGAGTGCATCCTGTTTGAAAGAAATATTACTCACTTCATACAAAAGTAAATCCACATTACACACTATTGGTACATGAATAAACAACTCAACCAAACCATACTGTAACAAAGCTTTAAAGTCTGTTCTGTGTACCTAGGGTAAATATTCACTATGGCTCAAACAAAACTTCTAACTATCAAAACAAGAAAAGGCATCATAATGACATGCTGTCTTTCACATATTCTAGATGCTTGTAGATATTGGCCATGTGTCAGCTGGATATAAGATCAAGACATCAAGTAAAATCAAGAATTAAAAATGCATTGCAAGATATTTGTACTAAGATTCACCCTACCGATCAAACATGCTCTGCATTATGCACCAATTTAAGGTCCACTCAAGGGTTTTTGTCAGTATTAGACGTTCTTGCTTTCCATCTGAGCCAAATTTGACAGTTGGACCAGCACCTGGGACCCACTGTGAGATTGGGAAAGCAAGCACCCCCTTGTTAAGCATTCCAATCAAGTAGTTCTCCTTCCGCATCAGTCGCATAACCACATCATGAACAGAAAGATCCCTGACCACACAGAGCTGCTGTGATCTTTGGAGCTGAACAACCTTTTCAAGAATTGATGCCCATGGCATAGTCTGAATTTCATTGTCTGTGACATGGAGGCTGCAAGAAGACAACCAAAATCACCATTCATTACTAAGACAATGTTATGAAGGCATAGGTTTTGTACAAACCATAATCGTCGCTCAAATTAAAATTTTGGAGATAGAAGTATTCAGACATACCTGTTGTGATAGAAGTGACGGACTCCCAAAGTATCCCTTAATTGAGCAAAAAACCTCAAAAAACAGAAGACCCAATAAATGGAGAATATACCCAAATATCCCACAATGATAGCTTTAGAAAGCGTCAAAGGGGTTAGTGGGTTCTGATGAAGGGCTTCCTTAGCAAGGTCACAGGGCTTAATTCCAGATTCAAATGCATCCATCCCACACTTTGCATTACGAAGACCATTCCAATCAACATATAATAAGAAGAATCCTGAGAAGCATATAGTAAATCCCAAGCTCAGAAGCTCAACTATCCACTTTATAATAATACACCAAAGCCCTTTCTCACAATAGTAGCTGTAGAGCCTTTCAAAGAACAGGTCCAAATCAGCAATTGGTTCCGCATTTACACTCTCACCATTAAGAAGCCCCGAAGGGCTCTCACTGCCAGGACTTGGTGCCCTTCCATATTCAGATAATTCAACCTCAGGAGGCACATCCCTGAGCAACGCTGCTGTCAAAGATGATTCGCTATTCAACTTAAAAATGCCAAGAGACTTCACACCCTTCAACCAACGGAACATCATTCACAAAGCCTGACAGTGTGCAGATACAGCCAGTCCATTCCACAAACCACTATACCAGTTAAGCAGGGTTCTGTAAGTATGAAA